CGCGGGTCGACTTCCGCGATCTCTTGACCCGTTCCTCGCCACGCGCGTGATAGTATGTGCCGCCGCTCGAGCCCTGTGATGAATAGAGACCGGATTTTTATGTAATTACAGGTTTTTTGTTTTTCTTCTTCATGTTCTCAAATTTATAATCTTGTAGAATCATCGCCGTCTTATCACAATATCCAATTGTTTAGTTACATATTTATACATATTTAGTACTATATTACGTATTTTACATATTTTGCAATTTTCACAATATATTTTTTTATTCTATGAATTTTCTTTAATTTTATTCTATGTGTTTTAGGAAATAATTATATTTTCGAAAAGAAAAAAAGGAAGAACTTGTTTCAACATTATTACGTATTATTTAATGTACGTTAGGTCTTATTTATTACGCATTATTACTACTACTACTACTACTATTATTATTATTACAAATTTTTTAAGAGACGTATTTTCGAAAAGAAAAAAGAGAAGAGGAATTTGTTTCTACAATTATTACTGCTTGGTGTCTACTCGAGGTACGCAACGTGACGACGTGGTCGTTCATTCTAAAAGTCCGGCGCGCCTGATTCAGTTATTTCGATGGCGGGAAATGCGCATTGGCGTCTGAGATAATTTTCACCTTTGGGTGTGAAATGTATCACTGGCGCCGCTTTTCGGGATCATTAATCAGAATTTCTGAGGAACTTGGGCTGTCGCCGATGTGTAACAATTCGATGAGATGCAGTAATTGTTGGTCATAGATTGCGCCAGTTTGTACATGTGATGGCTTCTATTGCTTATAGCCTGGCTGCTAAATTACTGTTCTGGATAGCTATAGATGAAGCTTTTACTACTGACGGGAAATTTTTATAGGTCAAAGTGTGCATGTACTTGAACTCTCTAAATGATTTTTAGAACGTTTATGTTCTTTTTAAATTTGTTTAGACAATTGTTTATTAATGTAATTTCGTATTATGAAAATGTGATTTATAATTAGTGTATTTTAATATTACATATTTTGTCAGATTTTACATATTTATTACATATTTTTACTGTTTTCATTACATATTAATGTACATATTTCGACGTTTCATTCAGCAAATTATTCCGATCTCTAGTGATGAGTGTAATGGGGTCATTCTGGAAGGCTTGCCAACGCTGGCGGCACCACGTATTTCGATAGAGAGAAATGAATGGTTTTTCAAGATTATTGGGGCATGCAAGACGTCTTTTATCGTAATAAATTGGAAATCACTGAACCACAATTCCAGACAAATAATTTGAATTCTCAACCTGTGATCCGTGTGTTTGGCAGATTGGATCACGGAGATTAAACTTCAGATCTGCAGATGGTTCACTTCTAAGACGACGATTAGGAACACCGTTGATTTAAATTTTAAATTGAAAATAATATTCAACCAATTTAAATGTAATTTGTAAAGTACTAATGAAAAGGGCTGGTGTTGAGTAATCAATTCTTGTTACTTATTAATTACATGAATACCTTTGCAAGTATTAAATTATTAATATTTTTTTTAAAACGGTGCGCATGTCTTCAGAACCTAGTAAGATCCACAAACACACTAGGTTCTCGTAATATAGATATGCCGAAGATTAAGTGGTTAATAAATGGTGATCTACTTAACAATCACTATTGCATGATTACTCAAAAGTCAAGGTCCTAGAATGAATGTACTGTTTTGTATTTCATGGGTTGCGCTAGCAATCCTAGAAAATATTGCAGCGGTGTGCCATTTAAGCTAATCTACTTTTCTTGCGCCATTAATCCTATACTAACGTGTTAGCATTTGTATTCAACAGTGCATAGATACTCCATTTTCTCTTCCAGGAGAAAACGCCTTCTGTCTTCGTAATCATTCGGACAATATCGGTAATGCGGCATTGGCTCCTATCTCCTTTCACGCCCTCATCTATCCGCGTTCTACTTTTCATTCTTAATGCACGCTAACTAGTGTAAGGTGTACTGCCCAGCCAACACATGAACATAATATAATGTCAGTTCAGGTAACTTCCGAATATATCCCGTTTAAAAATGTCATAGAACACTTAATAAAACAGCAATGAATATTATAATCACATATAATGTATCGAAATTATATTTGGTTGGATTATCGGTAAAACTATGTGTATTAGTCAAGGGATTGCTATAAGAAACAACACAACGGCAACAAATGATACTTTTTGGAGTGAGGATTCCTGAATATCGTGATTTCGTAGTTATGAGCTTTAAAGTGGATTGATTATCTCGAAACATACATTGTATAAAACGTCAGGTAAAATACAATCACACTTAGAATTATATGTAATTATACGAGTGCAAGTGGGTATTCTAAGATTACCTAGGTGTTATTCTTCAACTTTTTTTAAATATGATACACGTTTTTAATTTCTCGGCCGATTTATTTTAATGATATTCAATGTCTTCTCTCCGAGATAACTATCTGCGTATCTGTCTCTTCCTTCCTTGCAGCTGCTGTCCCTTATGCTGTTAACATAAAACATCATTGAGACTGTCGTACGCTTCATTTCCTGGGGGGGGGGGGCAAATACTTAAGGCACAATTGACGCTTAACTACGCGTGTCGGAAGTTCTTGACGAGGCTTCGGCCTTGAGCTGGCCCGATTGAATCCTCTGGTTGGAAATTATGTTCTGAAGTCAAGGTTAATGTTATGTCATTAAAAAGATAATTAGAACGCGTCGTTCTCAACTAAACTACGAAACAGAATTCGTTCGTTGCCGCCACTCATTCTCGACTTTCGTTCACCGACCTCGCAAGGTTGGAGTTCGATAAGGGATGCGTCCCACATAATATTAGTGAGTTAAACAATGGGGGGCGAGTTCCGACGATCTAAAGGGAGGGCTAAAACTGCGTTCGGGCACGCGCCGTCGCGGCGGCCGGCGGCGTCCCTGGGCGCGGGCAGCGCTCCCGCTACAGCGGCGGCGCCGCGTCCCTCTGGGAGCAGTAGCGGAGCGGGTGTTGGGCCGCTGCG